AAATATTAAGGAAGAGCTAGCCCCTATCCTTCTCAGACTATTCCAAAAAATTCAAGAAGACAAAAGACTCCCAAATTCTTTTTATGAAGCCAGCATCATCCTAATCCCAAAACCAGATAAAGACACAATAAAGAAAATTATAGGCCAATATCTCTGATGAACATAGATGCTAAAATCCCCAACAATATATTAGCAAACTGAATACAGCAGTGCATCAAAATGATCACACATCATGATCGAGAGGGATTTATTCTGGCAGTGCAAGGTTAGTACAACATTCACAAATCGATAAATGTGATTCACCACATAAACAAAATAAAGGATAAAAACTGCATGATCATATAAATAGATGCAGAAAAAATATTTGAAAAAATCTAGCACCTATTTATGATACCAACTCTCAGCAAAGTGGAAGTAGAATAGAAGGAACATGCCAAAACATTATAAAGGCTATACATGACAAACCCACAGCCAGCATCATACTCAAGGGCAACAACAACAAAGCTTCCCCTTAAGATAAGGAACAAGACAGGGATGTATGCTTTAACCTGTCTTCTTCAACAGAGTACTGGAAGTCCTACCCACAGAAATTACACAAGAAGAAGAAATAAAATGCATCCAAATAGGAAAGGAAGAAGTGAAACTGTCTTTGTTCACAGATGACTGATTCTGTACATGGAGAACCCCAAAGATTCTCTGTTGGGGACTGCTCTGTGTGGTTTCAGAGACTGTAGCCCCTCAAGAGCAAGCTTTGAAAGGGGTTAGTAAGTCTCCCTGGAAAAGCAGGTCATAACTCAGGTGGCAGGCATGACTTGATTCTAACACCAAGGGTCCCATGGGAATCAGGCCTAAAATGTACATTTTTGTCCCTTGAATCCGGCTCTGCTCAGCAATAAGCCCTGTTGGTATAACACAGATGTTTGAGTTCAAGGAATAAAGGAGTTCAAGGAAACTCCCTACTTCATGATACACACCTTTACAGCCATCTGGCGGCAGCATGTCTCACAGACCCCGACCTGAAAAGATTTCTGTGTTTCTTTAATTGTTATCTATAGATAGTGTTAGTTTTTTATAACTATAGCCTTGTTGGACATTGATTGATCAACTATGCATGTGTGCTGTATCCCCCTGCACTTCCCAACTCTAATAAATGCTGTGTAGGAAAAGGGGTTGGGGCATTCTCCACTAGAGGGAATCATCACCCCTTTTCCTGACAGAGCAACAAGATTGTGTCTAGGATGACTCTTTATTCTCATCTGAGGTGGCCTGGGGAAGCTCACTGTCTGAAGTTCGCCTCAATTCTCTATGTTGCATTTTTATATGTCTATACTGAACTAACAAAGGGAAATTAAGAAAACAATCTTATTCACAATCACTTCAAAAAGAACACAATACCTAAGAATAAACCTAACCAAGGATATAAAAGACCTGTACTAGGAAAATTATAAGACATTGAAGGAAGAAATTGAAGAAGATACAAATAAGTGGAAGCACATAGTGTATTCATGGATAGGAAGAATTAACGTCACTAAAATGTCCATACTACCTAAAGCAATCTGTAGATTCAATGCAATTCCTATCAAGAGTCCAATGATACATTTTATAGAACCAGGACAAATATTTTGAAAATTTATATGGAATCACAAAAGGCTCTGCATAGCAACAGAGCTCCTGAGAAAGAAGAACAAAGTTGGAGGAACCATGCTATTAAATATCAAGCTGTAGTATAAGGCCATAGTAATCAACACAGCACAGTGCTGGCATAAAATCAGACACACAGATCAATGGATCAGGTTAGAAAGCCCAGAATTAAACCCACACCTTTATAGTCAATTAATATTTGACAGAGGAAGCAAGCACATACAGTGGGCTAAAGATAATTTATTCAATTAATGGTGTTGGGAAAATTGAACAGATACATACAGAAAAATGAAACTAGACAGCCTTCTTATACCACACACAAGAATAAATTCAAAATAGATCAAAGACGTATATGTTAGACAAAAAAAACCCATAACAATCCTAGAAGAAAACAGGCAGCAAAATCTTGGACATTGTTTGTAGAAATTTTTTATTAGATATATTTCCCCAGGCAAGGGAAACCAAAGGGAAAAACCAAAAAAAAAGCAAATGGAACTATGTCAAATTAAAAAGTTTTTCATAGCAAAGAAAATCATCAACAAAATAAAAAAACAAACCACAGAATGGGAGAACATATTTGCTGATACATCTGATAAGGGGTTAAAATCCAAAATTTATAAAGTACTTACAAAACTCAACACCAAATAAACAAACAACCCAATTAAAAAGTAGACAAATGACCTGAATAGACATTTCTCCAAAGGAGACATACAGATGGCCAATAGACACATGAAATATGCTCAACGTCACTAATCATCAGAGAAATGCAAATAAAAACCACCAATAGATACAATCTCACACCTGTCAGAATGGCTATCATTAATAAATCAAAAAACAACAAGTGCTGGTGAGGATGTGGAGAAAGGGGAACCCTTTTGCACTGTTGGTGGGAATGCAGATTGGTGCAGCCACTGTGGAAAGCAGTATGGAGATACCTCAAAATATTACAAATGGGTATGCCTTTTGACCAGAGATCGTACTTCTGGGAATATATTTGAAGGGGTCCAAAACACTACTTTGAATGAACACAAGCACCCCTATGTTCACTGCAACAGTATTTACAGTCACCAAGATATGGAAGCAGCCCAAGTGTCCATCAACGGATGAATGGATAAAACAACTATGGGACATTTACACAATGGAATGCTAACTACTCAGCCATAAAAAAAAGAAGAAAATTTTACCCTTTGCAACAGTATCGATTGACCTGGAGAATATTATGCTAAGTGAAATAAGCCAATGAGAGAAAGTAAAATAACATGTCTTCACTCATATGTAGAATTCCATGAACAAACTGAACTAACAAGGAAAATGGGGACAGACTCATAGACGGAGAGCAAAATGACAGCTAGTGGTGGGGAGAGGTTTAGGGATGGAGGGACGGATCGAAAAGGAAAAAGGACTCAAGGACTCGGACAACAGTGCAATGATTGAAGAGGAAAGGGGGTGTAAGGGGACTAAAAGGTAACATAAAAATACAATGAAGATGAAATAAAACAGAATTGTACAATAAGCAAAATCCATAATATGGAAAATACTATACAGCAAACTTGATTTTTCCAAAAATAAACTACAAGAAATAAAATGGAGTGAGAGTACATGTAGACTAAAGGAGGCTCTACACATCGTAGGTATCTCCATAAGAATGTGCTCCAAGATCCCTAAACATGCACAATAGTGTAAGAGCAGCCAGGTGATCTGCTCAGCCAGAGATTCTTGCTAAAATGCTAACTTTATTCAAGAGGTAAACTTTAGTTAAGAGTTAAAGTAAATTAATTTAGTGAGAAATCTATTTAGGGTGAATTTTATCATTTGAAGAGAATTAATTTTCGGTTCCACAGACTTATTCCCAGCCATCGTTATTATATGGACAGCACAGCCACTGAGAGTCTGTATGGCAAAGTATCCCAGCAGTCTGCAGGAACGAGGGCCCAGTGCCTTACATGGTATGGTTTATGGAAGCAGGAAACAATGCTTTGCTCTCTTGCTATTGCACCATCAGAACTTGCTTAAAGTAAACCCAATTCTAGAGAAACAACAAGCTGTGAAAATGGCCCTTTTCATCTTCTGCTGGGTTTGTTTTACCAGCACAAATAATAACAATGGCAGTAAAGAGCTGACAATGAGCAAGCAGTACCTTTAGCTGAGATTCCTGACTTCCTTAAGGAACAAATAAACAGGAGACAGCTATACACCATATGCATGCCTCTGGAATGAAGAGAGCTGGGCCAATAATATTAAGCCTCAAAACTTGGCTTTCTACAGGCAAATACTTAATTGGATTAAAAGAATGATGTGACAGAAGTAAAAGGACAGTGTTTCAAGAACCAGGTTACCTAAGTAAGCTTACCTGTCCTTCATAAGGCTAAAGGTGTAAGGCTGCTGCTATTCAAGTATGGTCCAGCAACCCCTAAGGACACCCCTTCAGGGAGTGGGGGATGCCCACTCAGTGAGTCAGTGAGTGTCCTCTCTCCTATGTGCAGATCAGTACTCAGTCAAAGACTCAAAGTGATCAGTGTGCCTTTGCAGTTCTCATATTCTCTCTCTCTCTCTCTCTCTCTCTCTCACACACACACACACACACACACACCCACAGCAGATCTCTCCTCTCTGGTACACTGTTTCACAAATTCTAGGGGTTTCTGGACCCCCAAACTCTTCTTCTGTCTCATCAACACAGTGAGATGGCTGGGTTATTTTTGCTATGCTGTCCCTGCACTGAAACGGCCTCCAGGAAGCAAGCTGGGGCAATATTAGGACTCACTTCACTGTTTTCTTTATCTATCTCTGTGCCACCTGTAGTTCAATGTCCAAAAATTGTTTCATTATTTTGTCCAGCCTTCTGTTTGGAATGTCAATTCCTATAGCACTCTAATTTTGCCAGTGAAACAGAAATCACAGTAATTTATTATACTTGCATTTTACAAATGCAGTAGTCCCTGAAGTATTGGGGAAAAACTGGTTATTCAACCACATATTATTTGAGAAGAACTGTGTTAGAAAATGCTTCCTGTATGGCATTGAGTCTTGGGGGATGAATAAAACTAAGTCAGATGAAGGGCTGGAGCGGTTTCTAGGCAGAGGGATCCTTCTCTGCCCATGAGAATCATGGGGACATATGCAAGGAAGAGACCTCATACTAAGTCACTTAAAAATTGTATCTGCGATTATTTGGGAAGCATTAGATCTCTGTACTATGGAAGAAATGATGGAAGTTATAATTAAAGATTCCCCCAAGAGTACTGGTGAACTTAGACTGAATGTTCAGTGCTTTCTTCTTAGAGTTGTATTCCATTCTCCTGTGTCTATCCCACTAAGTGTTAGAAGAAATCATGTCCAGGACATTGTTATGGTGTAATTTGAGTGATAACCACCAGGGGGCAATGCTTCCTTCTGATGTGGTTCCTGGTTGTGTTCAGGTGGTGCTTTGACTCTGGTGCCTCTGTAGCAACAAAAAAAACTGTTGTGCAGAAAGGGGCTCTAAGTTATGCGTGAGGAGTGTCTCTAAGGGCCTGCTGGGGACTAGCCTTATTGCATTCAGTGTATTCCAGGGAGCAAGGATCATTTTCTTCTGCCAGCATGCTTTCTGCCACCTGTTCCATTCTTGTGATCTTAATACTCAGTAAGTAACATTTTATCTTAAATGTTAATGCTTTTTCATTTTCCTGTAATTATAGATAACTTTTAGTTTTCTTCTTTGGCTGAAAACTCTCTCCCTATACGTTTCTATCATAACAAAGTAATTCTCTTTTAGGAGGGACCAGTGGAGACTCAGTGACCCAGACAGAAGGCCCTGTTACCCGCCTTGAGAGGACAAGTATTATCCTGAACTGCAATTACCAGACCACTGATTCAAGCCCTTTCCTCTTCTGGTATGTCCAGTATCTCAATAAAGGTCCCCAGCTCCTCCTGAAGAGTTCAACAGACAGCCAGAAGGTAGAGAATGAAGAGTTTTATGCCAAGCTTGTGAAGAGTAGCAGCTCCTTCCACCTAGAGAAATCATCACTCCAAATGTCAGACTCGGCGGTGTATTACTGTGCTATGAGTGACACAGTGGGGGCGGCTGCAGGGGGAGCTGAGCACAAACCCAGAGGGCTGCAGGTGGGGCCTGGCTGTGGGCAGCCCTGGGAGGGAAGATATATTCTCTCCCTAAGCAGTGAGAGAATATAACTGCTTGATTCTATTTAGAGTTTTCTCACAGAAATGAACCAAGCCCAGACTATTCGTAGAAGTCTAAGAGGCTCACAATTGCTCTGCAGGTAAAGAGGGGTGGATGTCAGTGTTAAACAGAACCAAAACTTTGAGCCCCATAAGTGCTCAGTCAGAAAGGCTTCTCTCTTCTCCAGACTCCAATCCTTCAGAGAAAACATTTGTAGAAAAACTCTATTGTGAGATGAATGTCTACCAAGATATTTTTAACTATTTAATTATTTTAAAGCCCTGTAATCTTGTGCTTTTCATGCATTCACAAAGCAACTGAGGAACCTAGGATCTGGTCTTTAGTGTTCTGCACAACTAAGTGTCCACAGCTAAGATGGACAGATGGACATGCCCCCTCTGACTCAGTCCTTGCCACAGAAAATTCACCCCAACTTCACATTAATTCATCACCCCATACAACTTCTCAGAAAACACTGATGTGGAAAGACTTGTAGGTCAGGGCACTGAAGGAATCCCCTCCTCAGGTTCATGCTCCTCACTAGGTGAGAGGCAGCTAGTCTGGAAAGGCTGCATCCAGAGCATCCTCCCCCTGAATGTTCAGTCTTCTTTGTCATCACCCAGATCTTTATCCTGAGGATGATGTGCTCAGTCACCTGGGTTTGGGCTTCAGGTTCCAAGATAATTCATCTGAAAGGAAGCCAAAATTTTGACCCATTTCAGCTCTTTAAACTAAAATATTAGTTTAAACTATAAGATTTTAGTATTATTATATATTTCCTTGTTAAACAAGGAGTATCTTTATAGAGAGACCATAGAGGCTTGCACAGGGGGAATTCATATTCATCCATAAAGTAAGAAATATAAAGAGTCTAGAGAATAGGAAACATAACACAATACCACAGACTGTGTGGCTCAAACAAGATAAATTTATTCTCTCATAGTTTTAGAGACTGAAAGTCCAAGGTCAAAGTACCAGCAAGTTAGATGCCTGCTGAGTGTTTGTTTCTGACTCATAGACAGTTGCCTCCTTGCAGTGTCCTCACATTTACTTCCCTTTGCACCCAAGGAGAGAGTGAGAGAGAGGGAGGGAGGGAGAGAGAGAGGGGGATATCTAGTGTCTTCTTTTTATGCAGTATTTGTCTTATTAATTGAAGGCCCCTTTTTTATGAACTTGCTTAACTTTAATTAACTCCTTATAGTCTCTATCAGCAAGTATAGTCACATTAGTGGTTGGGGTTTTAACATAAGATTTTAAGAAGACACAATTCAGTCCATAAGAGAAAGATATATACTGTCTATTATTGGCTAAGAAGCCAAATGAGTAAGGTAATCTCATATTTCTGATTTTCAAAGTTGAGCTATAATAACTATACAAGGAAACATCTTTGACCACATCTAAACAGTGGTCAAACTTTAAATGCTAGAATAAACTCTTAATTCTAATAAGAAACCATGAAGAATTCTCTTAGATTATTTTTACTGACCTTATGACTTCAGCTGAGGAGTCCATTGAGACAGGAGCAAGGATACCCAGGATTTATTTCCTCCTTGCCTCATTGTTAGTTATTCTTGGTTTGCCCTTTCACCTAAATCCAGGCTTCCTCTCTGTCTGTCTGTCCTGTTCTATGCCCTGGTAGTCTAATGCCCATGAATGGCATCATCCAGTCTCACCTTGCTTTATTGACATCTTACTGCATTCAGCAATAGATAAAAACTGGCAAGAGATCTGTAGGTGGGAAGAGAGAAAGTGAAATATTTCCTCTTTTACCCCCTGACAGCTAGGATGGGCTGTTTCTGACACTGGCTGCCTTCCTTTCCATTTTGGATTAAATTTTTGTGCCTTCACCCCCATCCATATGTTGGATTGCTAACTCCCAATGTAATGGTGTTTGGAAGTAGAATCTTTGAGAGATAATTGGGTTTAGATGAAGTCATGAGTGTGGAGCTGGTATGATGGAATTAGTGTCATTTTTTTTTAGAACAATGATCCCAAGTGTGACAAATACAAAGAAGGCCACACCTAGGTACATTATAATCAAAACTCTGTAAAACAATGAAATAAAGATCAGATCTTAAAAGCAATCCCTAGAAAAAGATAGATACATTGCATGTATGCAGGAACAATAATGCAAATAGTGACTGATTTTTTTACTCACAACAATGGAAACCAGAAGACAGTGAAACAATATACTTAAAGTGCTGAAAGATAATAAATGACCATCTAGAATTCTATTGCCAGCCAAAATATACTTTAAAAATGAAAAAAAAATTGTTTCTCTTGTTTGTTCATTTGTTGCTTTCAATTTTATATCCCACATATGAGTGAAATCATACGGTTCTTACCTTTTTCTCTCTGACTTATTTGGATAGCATGATATTCTCAAGATTCATCCATGTTGTCTCAGATGTCAGTATTTCATCTTTTCTTGCAGCTGAGTAGTATTCCATTGTACATATGTACCACATCTTTATCCACTCATTAATGGAAAATTCTTTGGTTGTTTTCATGTATGGCTACTGTGAATAATGCTGCAATGAACATAGGGGTGCATATATCTTTGCAAATAAATGTTTTCAAATTTTTCAGGTAGATACCCAGAAGAGGGGCTGCTGGACACAGGCAACAGTATGGTGGTTACCAGAGGGAAGGAGGGTGGGGTGGGTGGGGTAGTAAAGAATACAGGGAGCCAAACTAAGGTGACGAAAGATGATTTGACTTTGGGTGGTGGGCACACAATACAATACATAGATCATATATCACAGAATTGTATACTTGAAATCTATATTACCTTATTAATCAATGATACCCTCAAAATTTAATTGAAAATCAAATTAATTAATGCATATGAAAGAATTCTGATTATAGTGAAAACTGTGCTTGTCTCCCAATGTCTATTTCATGCGAGGTCTGTGGGTGCCCCTGATTAATCCAAGCAAATCATTTTGATCTAAAAAATAAAGAAAGGCAAATTAAAATGAATTAAATCTTACCATTTGTGACAGCATGGATGGACCTAGAGGGTATTATGCTAAGTGAAATAACTCCGTCAGCAAAAGAAAAATACCATATGATCTCATTTATATGTGGAATCTAAACAGAAATCTAAATGACCAAACAAAACAGAAGCAGACTCATTGACTCAGAGAGCAGACTGATGGTTGCCAGAAGGGAGGGGCTTTGGGTGCTGGGTGAGAAAGATGAAGGGATTGAGAAGTACAGATTAGCAGACACAAAATGGTCATGGGGATGTAAAGTACAGCATAAGGAATATAGTCAATAATGTTGTAATAACTATGAATGGTGCCAGGTGAGTAGTGGAAATATTGCGGAAAGGACAACACTGTAAAGTATATGTTTGTCTAGCCACTATGCTGTACACCTGAAACCAATGCAAAGTAATATTGAATGTAAACTGTATTTGAAAAAGAGAATTTAGAATTCCTATTTAAAAATAAAGGAAAACAAATATATTTTCAGAGAGGTAAAAGTAAAAATCACATGTCTTCAGCTGACCGGCAGTACAGGAAATACTAAAAGGTTTTTATGCTAAAAGGAAGTGGTATCACATGGAAATTCAGATTCATAAAAAGAAACAGAGAGTATCAGAAAGGGTAGATATCTGGGTAAAATTTTTAAAGTCCTGTTGGTAATTTTGATAACTTTATTTACATTAAAAAGCATTATATCTTTAAGTCAAAATAAAAGCAGTATATTGTGGGTATTGATAGCATATTTAGATGCAACAAGAACATATTTTATTTATGAAGAAAAATAATGTTATTTGAAAGTAGATTAACATAAATTAAAGATTCCTATTTTAATCTCAAAAGCTACTACTAAAAATAGCACAAAACAGGTTTAAATTATCTTTGAAATGTTAGAGTGAGCAGAGATTTCTTTGGCATGCTACAAAATATATTAATCATAAAAATATTGATATATAGGTCATAAGAAAAATTAAACATTTCTGCTCATAAAAAGACAATATTAGAAAGTCTATAAGTATTTTGAAGTCTAAAAATATATTCCAGAAAGATATCTAGAAAAGGATTACTTCCAGAACATACAAAGAACTCTCATAAATCAATAATAAAAATGATAACACAATAACAAAATACATAACTATGGTGACCAATAAGTACATAAAATATCTTCAGCCTAATAAGTCAACAGGGAGATGAAAATTAAATCCACATTCAGAAGTTATTCACTCCACTAGAAGGGCTGAAAACAAACCATCAGGCCACCTCTTATATTGGCAAATATGTGGAGCAACTGGATCTTTGTGGACTCTGGTGGGAATGTCAAATGATGCAATCACTTTGGGGATTTGCCATGACCCAGAAAATCCATTCATAGGTATTTACTAAAGAGAAGTGAAACAATTCCACACATGACCCTAAAAAATGTTTGTAGCAGCCTTATTCATGTTTGCCAGACACTGGAAATAAACCAAACATTTATCATTGGCAGAATGTATAAATAATTATGGTGTATAAGGAATATTTCTCAGTAATAAAAAGAATGAACCACTGACTGATACAACAGAAGGTGGATCTCTAAAACCTTATGTTGACCAATAGAAACCAGACCCTCCCCCTAAGTGCTATATGATTCCATTTACATAAATCCAAGAACAGAAAAACTGAACTATGGTGACTGAAGTCCAAAGGTGGTTTCCTCTGGGAAGGAGGGTTTAACTGGATAGAGGCACAGGAAATTTTCTGGGTTGTTGAAATGTTCTTTATTTTGTTTGGGTGGTGATTATATAGGTATATAAAATTTCCAGATATATTGAAATGAACATAGAGAAACAGTGCATTTTATGGTAAGTAAATTCACTTCCACAAATAAAAACCAAAATGAAATAACCTATACACAAAGACATGTGCACCTGCACAATTATAGAGCTGGATAAATTGTCACAAACTGAAAAAACACAGGTAACAAATATCTAGATCAAGTCACATGTCTGGACCACACCAACTAATCACAATCCTGACATCTGACAGCACAGACTGGATGTCTCTGTGTTTGCAGGCTACACAGAGTCATTTAGCATATTCTCTTGTTCTGGCTTTTAAAATATACTCTTACCTTTGTGAGATTTATCCATATTATGTGTAGCTGTTGATCTTTATATTCAGAGTTATGTATGGTCTTCCATTTTATTTAATCATTGTATTTGTCTATATTTTTACTCTCAGAGCATATTAATGTCCAGCTAGTCTTTGTTGATTACATGTGTTGGGCTGTTGTCACAGGGGTTGGGAGTACATTTTAATTTCAGCAAACTATAGCTGCTGCTCTGTGACTATTAGTAAAGTACAAATAAGTTTCTGTAACAACAGCAAAAAGGAAAAATGAATTTTTTCCATTCATCTTTCATTTTATTTTGGTTCATTTTTTATTGGGATATAATTTTTTCCCACAATGAAATGCACAAAATTAAATGTTCAGTTCAATGTGTCTTGAGAATTATAGACATCTATGTAACAAAACAATGTACTGAATACTTCCTTTACCTCAGAGGTCTCCTTGTTCCCCTTTCCAGTTAAATCCCTTCTCCCACCGAGAACCACTTTCTGATATTTTATCACTAGTTGAGTCATCCTGCACTTTTACAAAACCTATTTTCTCACAATGCATCATGGACATATAGATGTCACTAAATTACTATATTCATCTAGGGAAAAGGAAAAATAGATGATTAAAAGCTGCAGTCAATTAAATCACCATCAGGAAGCAGTGTATTAATGGCAAGCATTTAAATCAGGCACCAAGTTACATGCTGCTGAAACGGAAGCCTGGCGGTGCTGGGCCCAGTGAAGGCCTCGGACGAGCCACCACTGCTGCCACAGTGGAATGAAGACATATTTGCAGTTTCTCAATGGCTACCTTTTTGATATGAAAACATGAGAATGCATGGTCTGGTGAGTTTGACTGCATTCATTTTCACTGGAGGGTGAAAGATTTGAAAGCAAGATTTTTCTAGCACAAACTTCTTAGTGACATAGACAAAGTTTGTCCACCAGGAAACTTGCTGTGATAGCATTAAACAGACAGGTAACTTTATCCAGTATAATTTCCCCAAAAACCAATGCCTTAAAGTGTAGGGAGAAAAGCTAGGGTGATTGAGAGGGAAGTTTACCTTCCTGTCTGGAAGAAAAATCTGTGACCATTTTTTACTGTAGATTTTGACTGGAGACAAACAACAACAAAACCCCCACCAGACTAAAAGATGGATGATTATTTCTTCCCAAAAGTCACCATAATCATAATAAACTGTATTTCTTTTGAAATTTACAAGTCCATCTTAGGTGCACTGTCTGAATATAGCAAATGGTTGAATCAGTAATATCCTACAATTCAATTTAACTCATATGCATGTCCAGGTAGAATTGTTAATTAGTAACTAAAAGACTAAACAGGCAGGTTAGAATCTCCAGCCACGTCAACAAGCCATGGCACGACATAGGCAAACTGATATAAGCAAATCACACTTCCTGTTCTGGCACAGAAGCATCTTACAGCTCAGTGACTGTACACGTGCCCTGTCAGGCACAGACCATGCATTTAGACCTGACTTGAGATAGAACATAGCACAGTTCACTCAGAGGAAGACCTCCTAACATGCTGCTCCTTAACCTGCTGCTCCTTAACCTGCTGAGAGGACTCAGGGCTCCATCTGCCTGGGTACAGCTGGTACAGACGTCCACAAACACAGCCTCAGGCTCCTCTCAGCTCCCAAGTCTGGGGGTAGGAGCAGATTATTATTATCAAGTGGGCAGGGGAATCAGAACTCTTGAGTCCTACATTAGTTCCTTACAAGTCTAAAGCTACCACCAGGAGAATCAGCATAATTCATTCTCTCTCTCTTCTGTCTCTCTCTCTCTTAGGATCCCACATGGCCCAGAAGGTAACTCAACCCCAGCTTGCAATTTCTATGCTGGAGAAGGAGGCTATAACCTTGAATCATATATGAAGCTAGCCATCATAGTCATTATTTATTCTGGTACAAACAAACACCAAGTGGGGAAATGATTTTCCTTATTGATCAGGAGTCTTACAACGTGGAAAATGTGACAGAGGGTCAGTATGTTTTGAACTTCCAGAAAGCAGCCAGTTTCATCAGCCTCACCATCCCAGCCTGCCAGCCTGGGGACTCTACTACGTATTTCTGTGCTCTAAAAGATGCCACATTGTGTGGGTGCATGCGGGAATCCTAGGAAAACCTCAGATCGTGCAATATGCCACCCCCAGCTCCGAACACCTGAGCGAGAGTCTCAGTTTGGACAGGAGGAGCCTGCGCCGTGTCAGCAGAGGCAACTGTGCAGAAGCAACAGCTTCACTCTAAGGTGATCTCATTTCAACCCCTCCAGCTACTTAGCCCGCCTTACCTCACGCCTGCTTCTTGTGAACTCTTTTTTTAATTCAGGTGCAAGGTAACTCTATTTAGAAATTTCTCTAACTTCCTTGGCTGAATACTTTAAAGTCATCCTTGTCTTCTCAGTTTTTCTCATATTTGATCCTATTTGATTCACTGAGAAATCTAATCAGCTATTTCCTCATGTGGCAGGAAAAGAAAGTCCCATAAATGATCTGTAGTTTCTTTGATCTGTAGTTTCTTTGATAAACAACATTCTCTGTAACACCTGCAAGATTTATCAGGAAAAAGCTGAGTGAAAATTATTTTTGGATAAGGAGCTGGGCAGACGTTATCAGGGTAATGTTATCTCAAGGCCAAAATGCTGACCTTCCTTTCGCTTCTGCCTCTGTATGCTCACTTGCTTTTAGCAGTTTTTCCCCCTCCCTTTCTGCCTGTGTAACTGGTATATAAAAAGAACTCCTAACCCAGCTTGATGGGTTCAGGATTTGGAATTAACCCCTGGGCCCCCCCCTCCCCCCCGTAATAAAGTTTGTGCTTCATTATCTCTTCGAGTGTGAAAGTGATTTTCTGCAAAACTCACAGTGCACCCAGAATTGACCAGGGTTCTTGACTTCTACCACTCCACATTCCTCCATTCCAGGCAACTCTTATCTCTTGCTTGGTTGATGGCAATATCCCTTACTGATATCCCTTCTCTCATCATTGTCCCTCTTTAGTCTGTTCTCCACACAGCAGGGTGACCTTTTTCAAACCTAATTCAGTGATGCGTGGGTCACCAGCCAGCAGTGATCACAGAACGCTGCAGATGGCTCGTTGAAATGCGAGAAAAACATACACAGAGACAACCAGGTCCTGTGGGGGAATAGGAACAGCAGGGCCACTCCTCACGTGGGGAGTGCCTTGGCCACCCTCCCTAGTAGGGAGAGGGCCCTGTTCCCCCCTCTGGAGAGTTTTTTTATTGGTTTCGTTTGCATAAGAAGTCAGGTAAATGCTCATTACTCATTACTAGGAAGTAAAGATCAAACAATAGATAACAAGGAAGTCTGAGGGCCTATTTTGAATTAGGGTCAAACAGCTGTAAAACTTTAAGGAACAAACTAACTTACTCCTTGGACCCTTCTCATTCAACTGAGAGCATTCTAAACAAAGCAGGTTTCACAGGATTTTACATACTCTTTCTTAGGCCTGATCACCCGGGGAATCCACCCTTTTCAGCACAGAGCTGCACCACCCTGTCATTGTTTCAGGCTTAGGTGGAGCAAGGGAACTAAGGCAACCAAGAGATAAGGAGATTTTCTCCCAGAGGATGAGGACTCAGGCTATGTCAAAGCCAAGGAGTGAGAGTCCATCATCTCCCTTTGCTGTAGCCCCCAGAATCCTTTTTTGGGGGCCTCCCACGTGATCGTGCCTGTCTTAGATCATTCCCCCCTTGGGGAATCTTACCCATCTTTGGCTAACCGACCAAGCTTTGGGGTTCAGTTATGAATGAAGTAGCAGAAGCAGTGCTCCTGCCAGGGAGATAAGCTTGTCTCCTAGCTGGCTTACAGTTCCAAGGGCATTCCCTCAGCTTTAGCCTAGGTGGGGGTTACAGCTTCTGATACCAGGCAGGGCAGTTCCCAACAATTCAGGTCATGTGGGCTCTGTGCTCACTACTCTGCAGTGATTTTCCATCATGCTCACATGAAAAGCAAACTCTACTATGACCTACAAGGCTCTTCATCTGGCTCCCTATGCCTCTATGATATCAGCTGTATTCACTCTTACTAACTTTCTTCCCTCCCACTGCACTTGCTATTGTTCTGACCTGGCATCATTTTCCAGTCCCAGGGCCTTTTCAGGTACTCATTCCCCTACCTTGAGTGCTTTTATCCCAAGTAGCCCCATAGTTTTCTGTTCACTTCATTGTGGCCCCTGCTAAAGAGACAAGCTCATTACATCTAGTGTAGCATTTGTGTGTGGTGGGGGTAATAGTGGGAAAAATGAGAAACATACAAAGTGTTTCTCAGAGAATTGGTATAGAGCTGTGATAAATTCATTTTATGGAATATTATGAAGCAAGTGTGGTAACATCAATAACTAATTAGGACATATAATTGAGTACCATAACTCAAATTGCAATTGAACATTGCATTTGAACATTATAGTCAGGTAAAAATTTATATACATGTATTTAACATACATGTATATAAATGTATAATACATGTATACATATATTTAACACACATGTATTTTTAGAATATATTCATATGTTTTTAAGAATAATAAATTAATAAAGGTTAGGTTATTATGTTTCATATTGTCTTATTTCTTTCTATAATTTTGTTCATCTCATTGTTTTTTATCTTCATCTAGGAAATGTCTCTATTCTACTCCAAAGCTAATATCTCTACTTCATCTCTTTGTAACATTTCTATTTTATCTAAAACAAACAAACAAACACAAAATGATTATGTTCTCATGAAATCTCTGTCTAACTGTTCTCAGTTATAAGAAATGTCTCCTTATTTCTGGGTTCATTTTAAAATTTTGGGTGCTACTTTATGCACACACATGCACACACATGTTCATCTTTCCTACTGTACACAGTGCAATGTCTTGTGAATAGAGACAAAGTTTCATTCCTTTTTTAATTTCTTAAAATATAGCACAAGGTCCAGCTTTTAGAAGATCTTCAATAAGTGTTTGTGGATTTATTTAGAAATAGTTTGAAGAAATCACAGTTAACCCTAAAGGTGCAATTTGATGATGTATTTTAAGATAGTAACCTCTATTAAATGACATTATGAAGAGGAAACCAGTTTACTTTAAAAAAAAAAGTCCCCTTCTAGCTTATAGTTTTTTGCCCTGGATAATGTGTGGATGGTCCTCAGGAGAGAATGGAATGAGGGCTGATGGGCTACTTGTCCCAATGGTTTTGGATCTTTGGAGGCACTGTAGGATTTACTCTAAATCAGAAACATTCTTCTCAAGTTCTGACATAGTTGAATCTTATTTAAAATTTAAAAGAGGGTTAGCCACAATGAGGAGAGCATGTGAACTAGTCATATGCTATAAGAACAGGGGGAATTTCTGTATATTTATCTGCCAGGAAGTTCTGCTGTTGTGCTGGGCATAACACAGATGACTCTCCAAGCAGACAGCATCAGCTAGGGCCATGGTAAAGCTGGAAGCTCTCGTAGAAAACACATACCTTACCTACTTACAGTTTTGGTTCTCATGATTAAAAATTCTAATATAGGAACATTTACTATCACTTCAAAATTATCCTAGTTATATCTACCTTCTATTGTATCTCTTCTGAGACTAGAAAAACAGGGGGAAAGGAAATGAGAAGATAAAATGGGAGAAAATGAACATATGTAGAGAGAGAGGAGGAAAGAGAAAAAAAAGAAAAGAAATTGGAGAGAAAGAAATAGGATATGGTCATTTGAATTTCGAAATGTGGCCTAAACTTCACAGTCACAGGGCAGAAGCAGCCAGGTGTGCCCGCAGGTGTATGAGGAACGTGTTGGACAGCAGAAGGGAGACAGAAATGAGGTCAGGGTGGCCATCATACACATATACCATTTCTCTATGAACCAAGGACTCGCTGAGGACATTGTATTTGTTCATGATGACCACAGTCTGAAGTTTAAAGAATTCTCTTCCTTTCATTGAATTGTAATTACTGCATGAAGATGAGTAAATGAATAGTGTATGCAATGAGATACTCTGTCTTTGTCAGAGTTTTCTTTTGTAAATGATTTCTCAGTCATTTTTTTAAACTATGTGCCCTGATTATTCACTAAAGAAATTAGATCACTGACCCCTATAATTTTTTTCAGATTATACTTGACCCAGATAAGGCCCCTGTTGCTTTCTGAGGTATCCTTTCCTTACCTTTACTCTCCTCCTGACGTGGTTGATTACCAGGGCACTTTAAGTGGAGGTAGTCATATGAAGGTGCAAAGCCAGAGGTTTTTGTTTCTGTGGTCAGCAGTGTAGCAGCCAGATGGGCATTGGTAGCAGAAGCAGTGTCATTACGTGTGGAAATCCTAGGAGACCTCTCAGCTCTCTGATCCCCATGTCCTCCTCTTCATGAAGGACAGATGAGACTCAGCCTACTTGTTGCTTTCTTCTCAGCTATTTGGTGGCTAGAGGAGAGGCTTTCTCAAGAGAATGCTTCCTCCTTCAAGGTCCATTGATCCCTATGAACCAAACTCTGTCCAAGATCCAGTTTTCTGCCCATTGTTCTGGAGTTCCCTGCTACCTGACCCCAGATTCATATATGAGACCCAAGTGGGGTACCTTGCTTGAGCTCTCGGCAGAGCCTGCCTTGGCTGGTCACCACAGAGGTCCCTGGCAAAGCACAGTGGATCAGGGATATTTTCAACCTACCACCTTTCTAGAACTGCCTTCTTTCTAGGTCAACTAATTGTTCCTTTGTTATAGAACTAAATTTCTAATGGACCACTCCTGGTGTGGGAAAGGTCAGAATCAATGATGACAGATGGAAAAATAATTTGATCTGGTAATATTTAACATTTAGTTAACATACCTGTATGAAATTTTACATCTCTCTGAAGTCTGATATTTTCCCTTATGACCACTGTAAATTTATGAAAAAAAGTTTTTATTTTATATAAAAATATTAAATATTATCTCCATTTGGAATTTTTCTGCAACAGATATTAAAGTAAGCATTCAAATTTATTTGTTAATTTCTAAATGGTTCTACATTCATGAAGGTATATTTTATTGACCATTCCTTCTTTTCCCCATTTTTATTGTATCTACTTTTCCATTAGTACTTTGTATGTTACACTTTCTATTCTGTGTCATTGACATCTCTTTCTGGATCCTTCTGGTGACATGCTTTTTCACCTAATATAGCATTACCCTTGCCCTTATTAACTGTGGGGGAGTTCCTCCCCACCCCCGACCCCATTGCCACCCCACTCCCCCTCCATTCTGGCTCAGAATTTAAAGGCTTCCTGAAACCCGAGATCATCTGCAGTACCACATTCAGCCTCTACAGGAAGAAACATCACAAACTGAATTTAGGAGAAAGTCAGAAAGCAGTCAGCCCGTTGAGGAAACACTTTTGCTTTACATGCTGGGTAAATGCACGCACTGCTCTGCCAGGGTCCATGTGGCCGAACTGTGTCCAGAAAAGAGCCTCCTGTGTCTCCTCAGCTCAGACATGAAGCCCATCCTCACTTCAGTGCTTGTGATCATATTGACACTCAGTGAGTAAAATTTCTTTTTATTCTGTTTCTATGGTCTTCTGATTTAGAACCAATTTAACGAAATACTGTCCTCTGTCTGCAAGATGATCCCTGATCTAGAATTGGTGTTACAGGAGGAATTAGAGCCCAGACGGTGACTCAGCCTGAGGACCACATCTCAGTTCTTAAAGGGACTTCGATGCAGGTGAAGTGCAACTACGAATATTCTGGGAGTCCTTACCTCTTTTGGTATGTCCAGTACCCCAAACACAGCCTCCAGTTTCTCCTGAAACACATCTCAAGAGGCAGCACCAAAGGTTTCACGGCTGACCTTAACCAGAGTGAGGCATCCTTCCACCTGAAGAAACAAGTAGCTCAAGAGGAAGACTCAGCTGTGTATTACTGTGCGCTGAGTGCCACAGTGCCTGGTTTACAAAGGAAGCAGATCACAAACCCAGCAAATACTTCGTTGTAAGTTCTCTACATGGCCACAGTGGGGCATTCTCTCTCTAAAGACCAACACTGAGTTTACTTCTTAGATAAAATATCATCAGTTGTCTGTTAGCTAAAGATTAACCTCAAAATAATTTGTCCAAGAAAATTCTTATTACTGTCTGCCTAAATTAATTTTTAAATTAGCTAGTGTACTTATTTTACCTACTGTTACCTGGAAAAATACTTTTGAAATAAACAATGAAATAGCATAGCATGAAAAACAGAAGCATTCTTTTTCTTGGCGCAGAGGGACTCTCCAGGTTTAAGTGGTACAGTCCCACCTCCCCAACTCCTCTGCCACCCGACCATGCCTGCGTGTTTGGCACCACACACTTAAGTTGCTTAAAAGTATGATACTGTTACATGACCTGTGATGCTGGTCTTTCTGCATCTAATGTCTTTCTTCTCCTGGACTCCTACATCAGTAAGGGTCTAATAATAAGAAGAAAACAATAATTTTAATGATGAAAGTTTAATATAAACCATTGCTAAATAATAAGAGAATTAATTACTAATGAGTGAAAAAATCTCTAAAGAACATAGGAATAGCATATGTAGGGAGAAGTTCTCATCACTAGGACTAACCCGAACTTCCAAAGTAGGTAACACATAGCAATACATACCCTCCTCTCCTACTAATGCTTCAGACCTCATTGGGGAGTGTGTCGGCGGGGAGAGTGTGGTGCTACCCTGGTGGGTGATGGTGAAGTTTGCTGAGGTGCCAGAGGAAAAGGCTGGCAAGCAGGAAAACTCCTTCCAGGGTTTCAACAAAATGTACAGGAAGTTGGCAAAAGGATGCAGCTGAACTGGGCTTGTCGTGCTCCTGAAACTTGCCAAGAAACCACCTGTGGAGCTGTCAATGAACTCTGCTGGAGGGGTGTCACTGGTGTCCCACAGGCTGGGCAAACACTGCAGAAACAAGAGGTGTGCCAGATATGGCAGAACCAGGAAAAGAAGCCTCTTCTTTCTCCAAGGCCCTTCCAGTTCCCTCCATGGACAAAGTTTAATATCACACCAGCTGGCAAAGGGTAGTGTTTACAAGGTCCAGGTCCAGAATCCCAAATAGGGCAATGGAGGTTAAGTTTGGATTTATAAGGCAATAAATTGATAATGGCACACCCATCCTCCTGGTTACTGATCTTTCACACGCATGCCTCCACACATAGTTGAACTTCCAAATAACAATGACTTGGCTCCTCCATATTTCCATCTAATAAGCTAAAGCTGTCCTTTGAACAAGTGAAGAAGTTCTCATCCTTTTCCCAAAACGAGGAAGCCTATAGTCCCAACAGTCACTAAGAATTTTTGACTATATTAATCACTTCTAAAATATAGATGAATTGCTACTGAATATGCTGTTATATACAGACTAAACTATAGATTTAATCTTCAACAATTTGTACATGCAAATTATGAGGAGAAGAAAATAACAGCATACACACAGGATCACATACATATAAAGAGACAACCATTACAATCCTTGATTCCAGATTTGGTCATGAGGCTACAGTTGGCATCGACAGCTCCCTTCTTTTATTACACATTTTATATTTCACCTACTCTCTGCCATAAGTTCAGTGGATTGTGGTTATTCACATTGAGGAGTGACCTAAATCTTCCTTCTTTAAGGGTCTGAGTCATCAGTAATCCTGCCTTTTTATTTCTTGTGCTCACTTTCCATTAACTTTTACTGTAGGGATTCCCCAGAAAAATCCCCTGGTTTCCAGACATAATCTTCTTTATATCTGTTATGTGGCAGCAATCCAGTTCCCCCCCTTGGTAATAGTGTATCAATAACTCCAGTGAGGTGAGTAACCTCTCTTTTCTGTTCACTGGTTCAATGACACATATGCTTCAAATTGCAACATGAGAATCTCATCTTCCAGTTCAATGGAATTATTGTTGTGTCTCCTGGCAGAAGCATTTCTCCACCAGGAGAATAAGAACTCTAAACTAAAAGGTAAAAGTTACAAAGATTGGAAGCAAAATTCTGGCTAGTGGGTTTACTGTTAATAATAGTGAGGATCTACTTCCAGGGCCACTTCCTTGATGCCTGGGCCCGTGTATTCTGGCTAAGGGGCAGACAACAGCATATAATCATCTCTGATATAAAGCATATACTGCATCTTGCAAGACGGAACCCCATCTTTTCATGGAGTTTTACTCCTGTTGGAGTCTTAACCAAATCAGTAAGCCATTCCACATTTTAACAGACTGGCCACTTATGGGTGATGAGGCATGTGGTAAGACTAGATAGTTTCTTGGGCATGTGCTCACTGCTATAATCCTTTGCTATGAAAATAGTTCCTTTATCAGAATAATTGCTATGGGAAATATCTTGATGAGATTAGGCATTCTGTGAGTTTATGAAGATGATGCTGGTAGAAGCATTATAAACAGGGAGACAAATCCATACACAAGCGTGTGTGTCTATTCCAGTAAGGACGAATTTTAGCCATTTCCATCATGGAAGATGTCTGATGCAATCAACATATCACCAGGTGTCTGGGAAGTTCCTCTGAGGAATGTCACCATATCAGGATCTCAGTGTTAGTCTCCGAAGTTTATAATTTGGGCACTTAGAAATAGTATTAGTGAGGTCAAACTTAATAATGGGAAATCAGTGCTATTGAGCTCATGCATACCTTCCATCCTGCTAACAAGGCCACTTTGTTCGTGGGATCATTGAGCAAGCATTGGGGTGGCTGGGGAAAGCTGCTAACACATCCATAGAATGTATCATTTGACTTCCCGTAAAGATGGCAATGTAGGCAGACATGGCTCACCTCTTCACACAACCACATGAAAATCACAACTAAAATATAGGACAATCATCACTCAGGAACATTAGAAATTGAATGAAAGTCTGACAACTACAGAATTGAAGAAACCACATCCACCAGGCTGGTAGGAGGAGTGCAGACACAGAAGAGGGTGCCCCACACTCACAAGGATTAAAGTTTGGGAGGGATATCTCAGGAGCAAGGAGTACCAGCCCCACACCAGGATCCCCAGCCCAGGATTCCAGTGCCAGTAAGATAAGTCCCCACAACTTCTAGATGCAAAAACCAGCAGAGACTGAATCAGCAGAGGGGCCTTCTGGAGTCCCAAGTAGTTCCTCCTGGGGAACCCACACATGGGCTCACTTACTCAAACTCACTCCCTCTGAGTTCCAGCACCAGGGTGGCAGCTTGAAGGGCACCAGTGGTATTACATAAGGAGACACAGAAGTGTCTGGCATTGGGGCAAGCAGAGGCCATTGTCCCTTGGCTGAGCCCTTCCCCTACAGAGCCAATAGGCTGGTCTCAACCAGCCAGGTTGAGACTCCATCAACCTGGTGAACACTTTTGACCCACCTTGGAGATCCCCAGAGGCTCCATCCCACCCAACTCATGGGCCCATCTAAGATGATTTTCCCTAAGAATGGCTGGTCTTAGCTCCTAAATCCTATCAAACAAACAACACCTGACTTTAGTGAGCCCTAGCAGCAGGCAGATTAGAGTCACACCTTGGCTTCACCTGGTAATCTCCAAACCCAGCGCAAGTAGCAGCCATCTCAGATTGCTTTACAGCTCAGGTAGTGTGCCCTGGGCAAAACACAGGTGGAGGCTGACCTTGGCATGCATCACTTAGAAAACCCCAGGGCCGATGTACCAAGTGGACAGCCACAGACAACTTTGGAGCCCACCACCCTGCCCCTGCACAGCTGACCCTCCACAGAGGGCAGAGGTCAGTTGTCAGGGTTTACAGCCTGTCCTTGCAGCTGATGGGTCTGGGTAAATACCTCCCATTGATCTGCCAGTAGCAACCAAGTCTCAACTACAAGAGGAGGGTATATTCAGCCCACAGAAAGGGCGCACCTTGAGTACTCAGCTTGGGTGATGAGGGAGGCTATGCCACTGCACCCTACAGGACACCTACTACATTAGTGTGTCCTACTACATACACTACCAAGACAAGAAGTCAAAGCAGCTCTACATGGAAACAAACACAGGGAGCCTGCCAAAACCAGGAGACAAAGAAACATGGCCCAACTGAAAGAACATATCAAAACTACAGGAAAAGAAGTAGATGAAATGGAGGTAAGCAATCTATCAGATACAGAGTTCAAAACACTCATTGTAAGGATGCTCAAGGAGCTTACTGAGGACCTCAGCAGCATAAAAAAGATCCAGTAAGAAATGAAGGATACACTAATTAAAATAAAGAACAATTTACAGGGAAACAACAGTAGAATGGATGAAGCTGAGAATCAAATCAATGATTTGGAACATAAAGAATCAAAAAACAACCAGTCAGAAAAACAAGAAGAAAAAGGAATTCAAAAACATGAGGATAGTGTAAGCATCCTCTGGGACAACTTCAGGAGGTCCAACATTTGCATCCTAGGTGTTCCAGGAGGAGAAGAGAAAGAGGAAGGAAATGGAAATCTATTTGAAAAAAATAATGAATGAAAATGTCCCTAATTTGGTGAAGGAAATAGTCATACAAGTCCAGGAAGCACACAGAGTCCCAAACAAGATGGATGCAAGATAGATGCAAAGAGGCTCACTCTAAGACACATCATAATTAACAGGCCAAAATTTAAAGATAAGGAGAGACTCTTAAAAGCAAGAGAAAAGTAATTAATTACCAGAAGATTGCCAGATGGGAGAGGGGAGGGGAAGAATGGATGAAGTGGTGAGGGATTAAGAAGGTTAAATATGTAGTTACAGAATAGCCATGGGGATAGAAAGTATGGTATAGGAAATAGAGTAGCCAAAGAACTTACACACATGATCCATGGACATGAAAATGGGAGGGGATTGCTTGAGGGAGTGTAGGAGTGCTGGGTGGAGGTGGGCAAAAGTTTTCCCTTGGTTGGTGCTGGAATGGAACATAATTATTTTTATAATGTGTGTCCATTCTGAGTGGTCTATCTAGATACTTCTTCCCTAGATTTTCTAGTCACTAATCTTCAAATCCTCTTCCAATTCTCTTACCACCCAGCAAAAACATTAGTAACTGCTGATGAATCAATGTAGATCAGTACTTCTAGTCATCTCTCTCTAAATACGTAGATAACCAAAGTGTATCACCTGATGTTTGGGGGGATTTTCCTTCAGTATTGGCTTTTGGTGGGGCTATAGTACTAGTTTTGTGTAGCACCAAGAAAATGTGAAATTCTGTATGAAAAGTAGTCTTTATTTTTTTTTCTTC